CGAGCAGGGTGGCCGCGAGCAGGGCGCGCGCGTGCATGGCGAGGACGTCGACGCGGGGACTCGGGGACGCAGGGACCCGGGACGGCTGGCGCGGACGGCGCGGGCTCAGGAGGGCGCGCGCCAGGAGCGCACGGCCATAGCGCGGGGAGGGGATGGGACGCGCTCGCTGGCTCGCAGGTCTGTGGGCGGAGGGCCCCACCGCCTTTAAAGGCCACGGCCCAGCCCAACTGGCTGGAAGGGGCGGCCCGGCCCCGCCCCCGTGCCCAGGCCCCGCCCCAGGTCCCCGGCGGCCTTGGGGGTGGGGGGGCGAGGGGTGTAGAGCGTGCAGGAGGCCCTGTGGGTGGGCTGTGGACAGCAGGACCCGTAGGGGCCACCTCAGCCTCCCTTTGAAATGGAGTCCAGAGGGTACCCCGAGAGGGTACCCAAGCCCTTCCTTAGCCTGTGTCCCCCGCTTAGCAGGGGATCCCGGCAAGGCACGAGCACAGCAGGGCGGACCCCTGTCTCCTGGAATCTCCCCAGCGGGAGTCGGGGTTTCAGGCTCTGTGACTCTGGGAGTCGTCTCCGTTATCCCTTCCATAAGGCGGGTTTCATGGCACATCCCACTTCTCGGGGCTGCTGGGAACGTGCAGCGGGCGCTGTCCCTGGCCCTCAGGACAGTGGCACAGGCAGCCCCGGAAGTGGAAGCTGGTTCTGTTCCCCTGGTTCCCCCCGTGTTCTCCAAGGGCCACCTCAGACCCAGGGGCAGGACAGGGCCCAGGCTGTGCCAGGGACTCCAGGCTGCCTTGATGAGGCTGTGGGGCAGAGGGGGCAGCGGACCCCTTTGGAGGTGAGCTGCGGGCTGAGGAATCCGGAGGGTGGCCACGGTGGGCGAGACTAGCCACCACCTGGTCTGAGGCCCCACGCAAAAGCACCAATGCCGTGTCCTGCGTGGCAGACCAGGGAAGCCTGCGCGGCCCTTAAACACACATGACAGATGGCACGACTGCGGGGAGGGCACCTCCACGGCTCCGGAGTGAGGACATTTAGAGGACTCGGGTGACGTAGGAAGCCAGGGCCGGCAGCGTGTGGATGAATGGCTAGCCCCAGCGGGAGCTGTGTGTGAGGTCCAGCGTTACCCAGCAGGAGGGACCGGGGGAACCCTCTACTTCCCTTGGGACCGTGTCCAAGTAGGCTCGGGCCTGCTTCACTGCAGAAGGGTTCAGTTAGAGCCTGTAGGAGTGAGTCTTTCTCATCCAAGTGTACGGACACTGGGTTAGGGTGGAGGGGCGCTGGGGTGACAGGTGCGGGGCTAGGGCTGTGGAGGCCCCCGCTCTGCCGAGGAGGTGGTGGGGGAGCGGCCCGTGAAGCAGGAGTGTCTGGTGGACAGGGAGGAGGGAGTGGGTGGAGACCCCAGTGTGAGCACCCGGAGACGGGAGACCAGGAGCACAGGGTACTGGGCCATGAGGAGATGTGGCGGGAGGGCTTCCCTATCTGAGCCCTCCCCGCAGGGACCGCGTCCAGGCCTCTGAAGGTGTCCGGGTGTTCTGCTTGGAGTGAGCCAGAGTGCCGTGAGTTGGTGACCTCGTGCACGGCCTGGGCTGCGTTTGGCCCTGGCCTGGGCTGCTGGCTCCGTCTCTGCAGAGTGGGCTTGGGCCTGTCTCTCCCCTGAGTGTGTTTGGTGGGGACCTGTGGCTCAGGGTCTGGGGACCCACCACCCTGAGGACACTGGCCCTGGAGGCCCGGCTCACATCCTGGGGTTCTCTGGGGTGCAGACAGCCGGAGACTTGGGAGGGCCAAAGCGCTCTTTTCCTCCAAACTTTTTGCTAGCAGATGGGGAAGCTGAATCCAGAGGAAGCTGAGTTTGCGCAGCCTCTGCAGCCTGCAGGGGGGTGCAGCCTTCGCCCCAGCTCTGCAGGCGTCCGCTGGCCTCCCAGGTGGGGCAGGGGCCGTTCACTAGGACCTTCGAAGGCTCCTGTGCAGCCGCCCTGTGTCTGACCAAGCTGCGGACTGCGCTGCCCCCGGGGCCCCCATCCGACCTCTGCAGCTGCTCTGCCAAGCGGGCATTTAGTTCCCGAGGCCCGAGGGACGGGCTGCCGGGTCTGTACACGGGTCCGGGTGTCTTCCCCTCCTGTTGGCTCAGGGGCTGCGGAGGCCAGAGCCCTAACAGCTAGCGCCCCCTGCTGCTGCCGCCCCGCACTGCTGCTGCGGCCAGGACGCCTCCTGCCCGCCTGCCACCGGCACCGGCGAGCTCTCCAGACCCCTCCCGTGACTCTCGCTGAGGGGGACATCACGCTGGGTGAGGCCACAGCTCACTTCCCTTTGGGGACCTGGCCGACATCTGGCCCCTGCCCCGCCTGTGATAAGGCTCCCAGCCACGTTAGCGGGTGACTCAGAGCTGGGCCGGCTCCGCAGCCTTCCCGCGCTGGGCGGAGGGTTCCTCCACCCCTGCTGCGTGGGGCCCCTCCCCCGCACCCCTCTCTGGCCCTGCCCGCTGTCCCTGCCTGCGGCGGGTGCAGGCACACAAGCACGACAGCCAGTGCGTCTTGTTACCTCGGCAGTAAGGCAGTAGGACACAGAAGCAGGTGACGCGCCCTGGTCACACAGCTGGCTCTGCACAGGAGGAGCAGGACCCGGACCAGGCACCACACCTCTGAGCTCCCTCTCTAGGACCCCAGCAGAGAGACTGGGGCAGAAGGAAGCAGGCGTGGAACAGGGTCCCGGGGAGCCGAGCAGCAGCAGGGCAGAATGGCACAGCACCCCAGCCATGTGTGGGTGGCCCGCCAGGAGGGTGGTGTGGGTGCCGGAGGGACCTGAGACAGCATCTCAGCCCGAAGGGCCAGGCAGTCCCACTCAAACTGTCTTCAGCAAAACAGTCAGTCCCGGGTGTTCCAGCTGCAGGTGTGGCCTGATCCAGGCGCTCAGGGTCCTTGGCCCATCGGGTGCTGGTCACATTTGAGGACCCAGGCCCCCGCCCTCCAGGGGGCGCTCCCTGCAGCTCCAGCAGGGAGCACCATATGGCACTGGCCATGGCACTGGCTATGATGCTGACAGGGCTGTGGCCTCCACTCCAGCTGTGGTCTCCTCTGGCCGGGAAGCCGTTGTCTGAGACTTGGCAGGTGGGAGCTGTGTGGTGACCAGGACCAGGAGGCCAGGGTGACCCTCCACAGCCTCCTGAGAGGGCCAGCCTGCCTCTGTGCACACACTAGTGATGGGGAGCTCACTACCCCCAAGACTGTCCCTTTAGTGCTTGGACCCTCTCCTTTCCTGGAGCTGCACCCTGTCCCATCACCCTGAGGGCTCAGAGGAGAGGTCGACCCATAGACATCCGAGCCGGCCCCCAAACTCAGCTCCCAGGGTGCCCTTGCACCTGTTTCCTGTCTCATAGGAACATGAAAAGAATGACTTTTTCCTAAGGTTCCTAAGTGTCCCTGGGTGCAGTTGGCAGAATTCTAGGGCAGACCCAGGCCCTAGGCCTCAGCCCGTGTGCTCAACCCCTGGGAGCCCCTCCACTGGGGTAGATGGGCTTGGCCTAATCAGGTGAGCCCTTCAGAAGGACCAGGTCCTTCCCCGGGGAGCGGGCACAGTGTGAGAGGTCAGACGGGCGGTGTGCAGGGGACCAGGAGGCTCGGCAAGGACTCACCGAGATTCAGGGCCACTGGGTCCGACCCGGGGGTTCACGCTCTGCCCAGCTCCTCTGTGTCCCACACCCATTTTACAGCAGGGAAACTGAGGCCCGTGAAGAGGGAGTGGGGAACTGAGACCACCAGGCTGATTGGTAATCAGAGGCCACCCTGGCCGAGCCTCTGCGGTGCATCAGGTACAAACCGTCAGGCGTGCAGTCCTCACAGCCTCAGAGTATGTGCGACTGTGACATGCCAGTCCCTGGCACAGACCGTGGCACAGAGATCCAGCCATGGCACCCCGGGAGGCCACCAACACCCGAGCCTTGGGAGGGACCCAGGTGCACCAGGCCCCAAGCCGGGGCCCCTGTCCTGCCAGCTCCGGGGTGACCCTGGCCCAGAGCCCAGGTGCTGTTGCTCTGCTGCTCTGACCCTCAGTTTCCTCTTTATGATTGGTTGATTAATGGATTGATTTCTTGAGACAGTGTCTCACTATGTAGGTTGGTCTCAAACTCATGGTGATCCTCCTGCCTCAGCCTCCGAAGTGCTGGGGTTACAGGTGTGTGCCACCATGCCCGGTTTCCTCCCCTTCAAAATGCTCTCCATTGCTGCCAGGGGACCAGCAAGCAGGAGGTGAAGAACCAGGCCACCCCACAGCCCCTCTGCCCTGATGCCCCCACTCTGAGACACCCTGCAGCACACATCCGGGCATCCCGGGCTGTTCCCGGAGAGGTCCCCAGCCGTCTCTCTTCCTCTCCCCTGCCCCTTCCTCTGACCAGCCCCACCACCTCCGGCGGTTCCCAGGCTGCTCTCAGCGGGGACTTCCTCTCACCCCCATCCCGGCTCCCTCCCGGCAGGCGCTTCCTCCCGCTCTGCCCCTCCAGCCCACGAGCCCACCTCCCAGGTCCCGGTCTTCCCAGGTCCCGGTCTCCTCCGCACAGCCCCGTGCTTTCAGATCAGCTCTCCCGAGAGAACACTGTCACACGCCACGGTGTGCAGCACAGGAGTGCTGGCGTGCTCACAGCTCTGCAGCCATCACCACACCTAACTTCAGACCAGCTCCGTCATCCCCAAAGGAGCCCCACACCCGTGAGCATCACCCCCACCTCCCTCTCCCCCGGCCCCAGCAACCCCTCCTCCACGCTCTGTCCCCATGCTGATTCGGGGCATTGCGTAGGAACAGAGTACGTGGTCCTTGGAGTCTGGCCTTTTCTAAGGTTCCTGCACGTTTAGCAGGACTCAGGACTCCATTCCTTTTTGTGGCTGAGTAATATTTCACTGCGTGGGTAGACCACACTTGCTGCTCCGTTCCTCAGTCTGTGGACGTCTGGGTTTTCTCCTTCTGGCTGTTGGGAACAGCGCTCTAGCGGGGAAAGCGCAGCTTTTTGTGTGGACATTGTTTTCTCCTGAATGCACACCTCAGGGTGGAACTGCTGGCTCACGTATGACGCCGTGCAAGCACTGGAGAAGCTGCCGGCTGTTTCCCACAGTGGCTCTGGCATTCTGCTTTTCCACTAGCGATGCATGGGTGTCTTATTTCCTCCCCAGTCACCGACTCTTGTTATTTTCCAGTTTAAGAAGTATTCTCCTTGCCTTTCTAGTAGCTGCGGCGTGGTGGCCCACGGGGGCTCTGGTTTGAACTTCCTGACGGCTGACACTGCCGGGCATCTTCTATGTGCTTATTGGCCGTTTGTGGATCTGTGTTGAAGAAATATTTGCTGAGATCCTTTGTCTCTGTCCCAGTTGGTTACTTGCATTTTTTATTGAGTGGGAAGAGCTCTTTGTATATGGTGGATAGAAGTCCTTGCCAAGTATGTGAACTGGAAATAACTTCTCACACTCTGCGGGTTTCTTTCCACTTTTCTTCCCGAAGCAGAAATGTTTCATTCTGATGGAGTCCAGCTCACCTGTTTATTGTTCGTTACTTGTGTTTGTTGTCCTTTGTTTGCAAACAGGGCTGGCCCCGTGCTTTTCTTCTAGGTGTTTCCCAGCTTTCGCTCTTCTGCGTTGCCCCGTGATGTATGGTGGGTATCTGTGTGTGGTGTGAGGTAGGTGTCCAGCGTCATCCACTTGTGGACGCCCGGCTGTCCCTGCCCGTTTGTGAGAGGACTGGCCACGCCATCGCACTTTCTCTGTTCCCTGCCTGCTCCGAACCCCCAGCTTATGGTGCAGTGTCCACCTCTTGCCTGCTCGCTGCCCCACGCTCCGGCGGCCCCTTCCCGCTGAGGCCAGGCTGCCCATTAGTCCTTAGCGGACTTTCCTCACCTGTCCGTGGGCAGCTCAGTCCTTGGCGCTGCCCTCCTAGCGAGCTTCTGCAAACCCTGTCCTCCACCCCTCTCCTCCTGGCCCTGCGCCGGTGGCCCCGTCCTGTCCTCCATGGGCTCTGTTTCGTGTCGCTCTGTGACGGTTCGCCCTGTGGTGGCCTCTGGGCTTGTCCTCCTTGGGGCAGATGGCAGCCCGCCCTTTCTGTACCTTGTTTTCTTTACCCACTTGCTCTTGACGGAGCCTCGAGTCCTGTCCACAGCCGGGCTGCTGGGATGGTGCCGGGTGCAGAGTCCTCAGACGACACCTGCCTCTCTGCCTACAGATGCCACCCCACCGTGCCACCCCCTCACCGCGTGGGCACTGCGCCCCGTCCTCCCTCCCACGGCTGCCGTGGATGTCTCCGTGTGCCGCAAGCCAGGCTTGTGCCCTGCTGTCCCCCCCAGCCCTTGCCCCTCACTCTCTTCGCTGGGTGTCTCATCTTGCCTGGTGTCTAAGGCGTGTGCCCTGAACCCTCACCCCGAGATCCTCGCGAGGTCACAGCAGGACTCCAAGACTCGCACAGCTGGTGGGGATGTGTGTGCCCCACAGTTCCTGGAGCCCTGATCCCCCTGTCCCTAGGGTTTGGAGGCCTCCGGGAGGTGATGGGGTCAGAGGAGGGCAGCTCCAGAGTGGCACTGGTGGCATTAGGAGGACAAGAGGAGAGACCTGAGGGGACAGCTGGCCCTGTCTCCCATGGGACCCCTGTGCCGGGACCCTGCTGACGAACTTTGCTCCTCATGATCCCCGACCCCAGGGGCTCAGCTAGAACCATAGTCAAGGACGAGGACACTGCTCTGTCCCTCCCTTCTCCTGTCTCTGCCGTAACACCCACACATGTACACACGTACGCACACATGCTCACACACTCATATGCCTGTACACATATGCACATGCTCACATACACTCACACACATGCACACATACATGCTCACACACTCATACACTCATACACATGCACACACTCATGGACATGCACACTCACACTCATACATGCACATATTCTCACACACTTATACACACACACATATGCTCAAACACTCATACACACGTACACACACTCATAAACATGTACATGCACTCACACACTCACATTCACGTATTCTCACACACTCATACACACATGTACACGCTCACACACCCATATGCTCGTACACACATACATGGATACGCTCATACACATGCGCATATGCTCACACACTCACACATGTATGCATATCAGTACACTCACACCCTCATATACACATGCACACACACACAGATACATGTATGCTCACACCCACACATGCATACTCATACACACCTACATGAATACACTCTCTCACACACACACACACACACACACACACACAGGTGTGCACACACAAACTGCTCCTGACCCGTGGCAGCTGTCCCACCCCTGTGGCCCTAGCGGCCCTCGCCTGTGTCCCGAGAACAGGGCCCTACTCCACCCCGTGGGGACCCTCGCCCGAGCCGGGAGAGGAGGGACGGCCAGGCGGGCAGGCAGGGACCCTCGAGAGCTCCACCACCTCTGCGGTTGTGGCGCCGCCGGGGCTCAGAGCCGATGCCCCACGCAGCCCAGTGCCCGCAGGAGGCTGTGGTCTGCCCCGGCTCTCCTGCCCCTCGTCCCCCACACCTGCCCACCCTGTCCGCAGGCTCCAGGCCTCTGATGGGCGGCAGGGGCGGGAGGGGATTTGTGAGCCTGGCCCGGGTGGGGGCTGAGGGACAGGGAAGAGCTGCAGCCAGCACCCAAGAGCGCAGAGGTCGGGGAGCGCCCAGCCGGCCCTGGGCCACGGCCAGAAGTTCAGGGCGCAGGCCAGCTGGGCCTCTCTGCCAGGTCCCGCCGGTCCCTCCAGCGGGAGCCCACCCTGCCCTGCAGTCCTGGGCAGCAGGGCAGCAGGGCAGCAGGGGCCCAGCTCATCCCGAGGTGGCTCCCAGAGCCCTGTGGGCTGAAGCAGGGCCAGGCGCGGGCCCAGTGTGGGACGTGGCTTTGCTGCCAGGCATGGGGGAGGCTGGGGCTGGAGGGGGAGCCGAGGAGCATTAGAGGATGGAGGTCCATGCTGCGGGGGTGGAGGGACGAGGGCAGGCGCAGGGGCAGCCGGAGCCG